CCATCGAAGTTCCGTTCTCACCTCCGTCGACAGTGGAATCCGGCTGTCGTATGAGTGTCCGGTGCGCAGGTATTCCGCCTTCAGTCGCTGTATGGCCCTGTAGTGCAATGGTCCCGGGAATATCGCCTGTATGGAGGAGGAAAGAAGTCTCACGATCCGGGCGAGCATCCTGAGCATTATGGTCTCCAGTCTCAGTACCCGTCTGATTTCCTTCCGTATCGAGGTTATCTTCGTTTGGGGTAGCCGAAGCACGCATTCCTTTGAGTCGATATCGAACCCGAGGAATTGGACTGATTGGGAGGGAGAGAGGGACGATTTTTGTCTGTTCACTATGAAACCTAAAGATTCCAGCAAGTGAACGACAAATTTCGTCTGCCATCGCAGCCTGGCAGCGGATTCGCAGAAGATCAGCAAATCGTCCAGGTATACGAGACATCGAATGCCCGAGGATCGGATGTGAGCCATCACCGGCCTCAGCAGCTTCGTGAAGCACCACGGCGCTGAGCTGAGGCCGAATGGCAGACACGTGAACTGGCATAGACGTCCTTGCCATCGGAATCGGAGAAAACGGCGGCTGTGTACGTCCATGGGAACCGACAGGTATGCGTCTTTGAGATCCAGGCGTGTAAACCAGTCATTTTTGATGAGAAGGTCTTGTAGGAGGTGGATTCCTTCCATTTTGAAGTGTCTGTATATGACGTAGGAATTCAATTGTCGGAGGTTGATGACAGGCCTGTATTCGCCAGTTTTCTTCTTTACCAGGAAGATATTGCTTACGAAGCTGTCCCCTCCTGTCGCGTATTGTACCGCGCATTTCCTGAAGAGTGTCTGGATCTCTTCGTCTACCAGGCGCCCTTGATCCGCCGACATGCGGATAGGGGAAGGGGGAATGGTCTGTATAGGTTGTGCTGAGAATTCTATGGTGAAGCCTCTCACCGTCTGGAGTACCCAGGCGTCCTTGGTGATAAGCTTCCAGTTCTGAAAGAAATGGGACAGGTTGCCTGCTAGAAAAACGGAAACATTGTGGTATAAAGGTGGACTCACCATTAGAGAAACGGCCGCGCCCTCGGCCCCTGAAGCCTCTCGATCTCCCAGCCCCTCGGTATGAGGATGGTCTTTGCGTAGTCGAAGGGAAGAAGCTTGGGGCTTGTGAAAAAGGTCTGGAACCTGATGCCCAAAATCGGCTGGTGGCTCGGTTCCTCTGCCGACCAGCCCTCCCAAAAACACCTCTTCCTGGTGGATTGTGGAAAACCTGCTTGAGAGAGGTTTGTGCCTTATTCAAGGTGGTGAAGAGATTCACGTGCTTCTTCAGCTCCGAGATAAAGGCATCGCCAAACAAGAGCCCTTGTGCTTTCAGTCCGAATTCTTTGGCGCCTAGGTCCAGGAGCTTACTGTCTATACGGATCAACGCCGATCTACGTCTCTCGGTGCACAGTGCGGCGTTGGCGTTGCCTAGAAGGCACACTGATCGTTGGGCCCATTCCCGTATGATGTTCGGGTCCAGCTGGGAGCCCTGGCTGAGTGCCAGATCTGCGAAAAATAGTATTTTTGCGATGGGGCCGAGTAGGTCCAGCACTTTGTCCTGTGCCGCCTTCATACCTTTCTCCACGCCCTTGCGCGGGTCTCGTCCTGAACGGGACATAAATACCACTACCGTATTATCGAACTCGGGTGTAAGCGCCACTTTATCCGGTATCAGTGGTCTGGGGCATTCGGCCCTGAGGCGTGCGCGTACTTCTTTCTCCAGAGGCTTGCGTAGCCAATAGTGTATGAAGTCCGTCAAGTGGTCTGGTAGCGTCCATTCGGAAGAGCGTGGGTGCCGGATGGTACGTGGGTCGAACAATGGGTTCCCTTGTCCGTCCGTGAACTTTCCGTCTCCGGCTTTGTTGTCAAAGGAGTTGTCTTCTTCTCGGTCGTCATCACCGCAAAAGATCTCCTTGACGTATCTCTAGGAGGTGGGGGTTAGGTCCTGCCACTCTTCCTCCTCTGACGGAGAACTGTCCCCACGCCATTCATCCACTACGTCCAAGGCATGTGGTATGTGTAAATCCTCCTCATCCGAGGAGAGTAGTACTCGGGGTGTGTGCAGTTGCCGTTCCGTGCTCTTACTCCGTTTAGCGGGCAACTTGCCTTTGGTCTTTGACGACGGGGGGGAACCCTTCCTATGTCTCTTAGCCTTGGAGAGCTCGGATCCCGAGGCCTCCACTTGTTCTGGGGGGCTAGTGTCGCCCTGGCTTTGGGGTAGTGCCCTCAGTAGGGCCTTCTCCACCGAAGCCGCCACTGCGGCATTAATCATGGCTTGGAAATCTTGGCTCTGAGTGTCCTCCATGACTCGTCAAGTCTTCCCTCGTCCTGTTGGGCGAAAGGAAGAGTCAGTGGGGAGATGTGATGGTGTATTAGTACATGCGGTTTGATCCGCCACAATTGTATCAGAGCTGGGTGCACGGTCTACAAGTTATTGATAACAGCTTGAGGCATAGGCCTCCGTGCACGTAATCGGGGTTCACCCCGGGTGGTGTGCCGTGGTATACCAGAGGACACCCACATCAATGATAAAGGTCAGTGAGTGACCAAGCATGCATATCTGGGGGGTCACCCCAGGTGGTGTGCAATGAAAAATCGCCCAGAGGACACCCACATAATTGTTGTACGGTAAGGTACAGTAATATGGCAAAACCAGCGTAGGGTGTATAGCCAGCCTGTCCCAGCGTAGGGACGGTGAGGTAGTAAATTCTTGTGCAGGATATATCAGTGCTCCTGCAGGGCAGGGAGAAGTCTAAGCTCCTGTGCGGGTAAAGTAATGTAAATAAATAACCCTAGTGAGATAAGACAAGCTAGGGTGACCCTATATAGGGTATAGTGGTTTAGTGAGACCCTGGTAGGGCATGGAGACCTAAGGTCCTGCTTGAAAAACTGTAATGTCTCTTTAATGCATGCTTGAATTGGTGGTACCATAGATAGGGGAAACAGGGGGCAGGTACTGTTGGTGCAAAAAACTATTGTACTGGGGTAAAACAAAGTGGCAGCCAGCTTACCCTCCTCCAGTGTATGGAGAGGGCATACACATGTGGAGCTCGGCGGTCGGGTGAGTTTCCGATCCGCCGAGCGAGCGGCACAGGCGGCCGTCCGGTATCTCACGAGCCGCGAGATCCAAGATGGCCGCCGCCCGCGTGTGAAGGTGCCACGTGGTCCGCGATCGCTAGCGCGAGCGTGGGCCAGTAGCACCCGAGAACACGGACCCCAAACCTCCCTTCTCCTGTCCCCAACCAGTCCCCCGAGCGATAGCAGGGGAGGGGGCGGCCCACGAGGCGCTCGCGGTCACCCGGCCACAAAGAAAAAGGCAGGGGGAAAAACAGATTATAAAGGAGGGACAGGGACAAGAGGGGGGTCGAAAATAATAACACCAATAAAAAAACTAATCCAAATAAAGCAATCTGTAAATATATAAGAAGGCACAAATAACAAACAGAGTACAGTAAAACTGCCAGGAGGCAAAATACTCTGACCTGATGTTGGCTGGAGCAGCGAAGAAAGAGGAAGTGATGTCATAGACAGGGCCTTATATGGGCACCATATCTTTTCTCTGATTGGTTGTTACTGTTTCTATGCTGCTGGAGTTTTAAGTAAAGAAAGATATGCAAATATGAAGCCTCCTGTCATGTGGTAAAATTTGGACAGAGTTGTACTTTGAAGGCAGAAGGGAGAGGTAGAAGCAGATATATGGTCACTAGTGTTTAGCTATAAGAAGATCTAAACAGTACCTATTCCTAGTGCTACCCGGTCTCCAATGGCAAAATCTTTACAGAGTAAGGCACATACAATCCTAAGAGGTATATCTAAGTAGTATAGCTTAACTCAAGGTGTTGTTGAATGGTAACATAGACAGGGATAATAGACCATAAGCCTGTATATGCAGTTTAAGCGGACATGATCTCTCAAGATGTACATAGAGAGTGTCTGGTAATAGAATCTGAAGCTGGGGTAATTGTTAATCCTGCTATTAAATTACTGCCAAAATTTATAGTTGCAAACTAAGCGGATAGCTGAATACATTTGTTCTATGGCAGCTTGCTGACACATTCCCACTTGATCTATCCAGTCCAACATCCATTGTTGAGTCGATCTGTCTATACAGTGATCAACCCACTTCTGCTTCAAGGCAGCCTAACTAATCTGTCCCCACTCAATGTCCACAGTAAATAAGAAATATCGGTAACTAGCCATATACACCCAGACCGGACCAAATCCCCCCCAGTCACCAAATAGTTCAAAATAACATCAGTGTTGGTTTGTCCTGCACTGTAGCCTCTTATTTGCTAGATAAAATGAGTACCATGTAATTGGGTAATATTAAAAACCCTTGGATGTTGGGCTGAGGTAACATCCCCAGGACGTACTTAAAAACAAAAGTAATCTGAATGTACCTTTCCTGGTTAAATACTTTATTATTATTAAATACTTTATTATTATTATTATTATTATTAACTACGCCTAAATCGTAAACTGTAACATTGATACGATGTTAATTATAAATGAGCTGAGCGGACACCTGGATGTTTGGGTCTGGCGGGTTCGGCCGAACTTTGAAAAAAAGTCCGGGTTCGGGATCGAACTTGACCCCGAACTTGACCCCGAACTTGACCCCGAACCTGAACCCCATTGAAGTCAATGGGGACTGAACCTTTGGGCACAAAAATGGCTCTAAAAAAGTCCTTGAAAGGGCTAGAGGGCAAAAGGAAGTAAAATGGTGGTAAGAGTAGGACAAGTGCCCTGCAAACAACTGTGGATAGGGAAATCACTTAAAATAACATAAAATAAGCAGCCACTTAGAAGATAACTCCCTAATTCCCACGTTATTAGGGAGCTATCTACCAAAAGGTTGAAAGACCTAAATTGGTCTTTCAGTCACATTTACTAATACTAAGTAAATATTACTTAGTATTAGTAAATTCAGCCCCTACTCGCCATACCGTGAGTAGGGGCGCGTCTAGTAAACAGTGAGCAGGACAGTAGGTCCCCCCCTCCACATTCTTATTTCTGGCCCCCACTCCTGTGCGACGGGTGGGGGCCCGAAATAAGAATGTGGAGGGGGGGGACCTACTGTCCTACCCCCAAAACCCCACCCCTGACTGGCTGAATTTCAAGCTAACCACTCAGAGTTCTCTTTGGAATTTTCCCACGCTGTGTAAAATGACACTCTGATTGGTTAGCTTGAAATCCATCCAATCAGAGTCCTCTGTGTCATTTTACACAGCGTGGGAAAGTTCTTTGGAATTTTTCCACGCTGAGTAATTTGACTCATAACACTCTGGTTACTTAATCCACACACAGAGCACTCTGGTGGATTTCAAGCCAACCAATCAGAGTGCTGTGACAGGTAAATGTAGAGACTTACCTGTCAGTCTCTTCATTTACCTGTCAGAGCACTCTGATTGGATGGCTTAAACCAACCAATCAGAGTTCTCTGAGCCTAATTGCAGGGCGGGGCAAGGCTTTATAAGCCTTCCCCAGCATGCAGAGCTCAATCTGCGCGGAGCCCTTCATGGGTGATTTATTTATTTTTTTGCACTCATTTTTTTTTTTTTGTGCGTCAGTTATTATGGATTTTTGTTTGGCCTTTTTGTGGCTGAAAAAAGAAGAGATCAAATGGTAAGTCTATTTTTTTTTTCCTTTACAGGTGTTTAGATAAGGGTCCCTCCTCATTATTTTTAGGATGAGGGGAGTAGGTAGGGGTAATTTTTTGGGGGGAGGGGGGTGACTAGGGGTTTGGGGACCCCTAGTCACCTGTTGGGGGGAACATTTTTATTTAGGGCTCCCACCTGTCGCTCAGGGGTGGGGGCTGGGGAGGAGGACATTAGGTTCTCCCTCAATTTTTATTTATGGCCCCCACCCACTGTTCAGGGGTGGGGGCTGGGGGTAGGACAGTAGGTCCCCCCCCTTATTGTTATTTAGGGCCCACTCCCACCACGCAGGGGTGGGGGACGGGGGGAGGACAGTAGGCCCCCCTTATTGTTATTTAGGGCCCACACCCACCATGCAGGGCTGGGGGAGGCAATAGGTCCCCCCTTTACTTTAAAAGCTCAGGAGGGGCGAATGTTTGGTTTTATTTTTGTTTTTTTTTAACAGTGAGCAGCCACAGACTGGGTGCAGCCTTTCAAAACGCGTCATTAAATCGCCGAACACCTAACTCCAACACGAACATACAGTGATATGTCCGTGTTCGGGTCCGGGGTTCAAAGAACGTAATGTTCGGTACGAACCTGAACTTTACAGTTCGGGTTCGCTCAACTCTAATTATAAATGGTTTCACTGGGGCAAACAAAGTATGCAGTTATGACATGGGGTGGTTAATTAAGTATAAATCTATTAATTATACTTTGTTTAAGTAAGCTTTGGTTAAATGTTTTTGGCTCTAGTCAAATAGTGAACGTCAAGTAGGCTAAGTATCGTACTTAGTTTAAAGGCTAAATATGATCAGTCAGGAATATCAAAAAAGTTAACAGGTATGCTATATACTTCATACCTTTTATCCCAAGCATCGTTAACTGGCAGGTAAAGTACTGGAACGGCCCCGTATACAGGTTAATGTACTTTGGAAGTTTCCGTGAGACCAACACCCATCCTCACATAGAGGTATTTTCGCCAATCGGTGAATGGATGATGGATGATTCCAAAGTTTGTGGCCGAGCTGAAGCGCAGGGGAATACCTTATCCTGCCACTGCCAGGGAGGCAGAGTTATACAGAATTATGATGACCAGTGCAGATTATCCACAGCCAGAGTTCAGTACTCAAGATAACATTAATGACACTCTAACAGGAATTCAGACCACATGCTGGCATCCATCAATAATTTGAACCAAAGAATGGAAAAGTTGGAATCTCCAACACCAGCTACTGTGCCCCCCCCAGATATCCCTCCTACACAAATCATCGACCAAACGGTCTCGCAGGTACACAGAATTCACAGGGTTCCGCTACACATATCATCACACCAGCACATATGGTCCCTCCCAACATCAAGAAAGACATATTGGAGGGAAAGGATTAAACCTCATGTCCTTACTGATTGCATCACAAGACATAGTAGAAAACAAGACATACAACTATGGTGACCTGTCAGTGGTGCTCAAAGCCAAAGATCCTAGGTTAAATAAAATGTTGTCCATACCAGACTTTGTATTAGCCTTCAGGTTATATAGAGATGTAATATGCTTCAATTTTCCCCAACGTACAGAGGAACTGGACTTGTACATGCACAAGTTGGTAGATCTGGGGAACAAGTACGGTGGTACCAATTTTTACTATTATCACAAATCATTTTCAGCCAAGGCAGAGGCAACCTTTGCACAGTTCAACATCAGAATAGATTGGAGTCACATGGACACTGAATTGTTCTGTCACCACTTTGCAGGGTTAGTACCACCGGCTTGAGCAATGTGCTCTTCAAACTCTCACTCTACCAATTTGTGCTCCAACAAACATAGTTTATCCACCACTAGCTACACCACCCCTAGCACAAGTAGAACAGAAAGGGTTAAAAGACAAGCTGGGGAGATCTATTGTGTTTGTGCCCAAACCGCCTCTTCCCCAGGAAATGACTGACCGAAGTTCAGGTTGACACGTTGACTTTTTACCTTAACTCTCACCCTTCACGTGATCTAATGCAATTCCTACTCACAAGTTTCACTGAAGGGTTCCACACAGGGTTAATCACACTACCAACAGGCAAACTTGAGTGTAACAACCTACAATCAGTCACTATAGAACCAACTATAGTAGACAATCTGTTACGAACAGAAGTAGAGAAAGTCTTCATGCTTGGGCCATTTCAAATTCCAGCCTTCACATGTTGGCAAACCAACCCCCTGGGTATTGCAACCAGAACATATAACAATAAAAAACTATTGATAATCGACCTGCTGCTCCACATTCTGTTGTTGTACCAAACCTAAACTCACTGATACATTCTGAGGAATTTTCATTGCAATATGCCATGGTAGAAGATGCCACACAGGCAATCTTGAAGGCTGGGGTACCAGTTTGTCTTGGCAAAAGCAACATTTCCAATGCCTTCCAGCTGCTTACGATACCTCTGTTACTGTGGCGTTTGCATGGAATAAAATGGAATGGTCTTTATTATTTTGCAAGCTGGTTAACTTTCGGGCCAAGAGTAGTCCAAAACTATTCGATCATTTTGCAGAAACACTGTGTTGGCTCCTGCTGAACATCAGCTGCTGTCCAGTCGTAGTACATTACTTGGATGACTTTCTGACAGTAGAAAACCCCAATACCACGCCTCAGAGTATAGCCAAGACAGTAGCGTTTTTTTTCCACGTTAGGGGTACCAGTAGCTGCTGAGAAAACCGTAGGTCCGGTCACCAAACTGATATTTATAGGGATATGCCTAGACTCAAGCTAGTCTCCCCAGTGAAAAAGTTCAGAGAATCAAGACAGAGGTCAAATTGTTCCTAATCAGAGGGATCACTTCTCGGAAAGACCTTCAATCTCTCCTGGGTTCTCTGAACTTTGTGCAGGGTTTATGGCCTCTATAAACATGTATTATTATCTAGTACTCTACTGTATAAGAGTCTGCTACATTATATACATGTGTAAACTAGCCATATTCTGCAATTATTAGGCTCTAGTTATTCACCCATTGACAGGTGCTTTCTTTTTTGCTTTTAATCAGGTTTGTCCCAATAAAATTGTTTATTATTTTTGAGACGTTATTTTGGTGTGGCTTGGAGGTGATCAGCCCATTTTTTCACAAGGCGATCAATCCTTCATTCCTTTATTTCTCTGAACTTTGCCATGAAGATAATCCCACAAGGTCGCGCATTTATTTCAAGACTACTTAGTCTATTACCAAACCTACCACACAATGACAGTATTATCACGCTGGATGGACAAGCTAGGGCAGATTTGACAATGTGGAACCAATTCTTGGTGCACTGGAATGGGGTCATCATGTTTATCCCATCTTTAACAGAAAACTCCCCGGTGTTATGGACAGACGCAACAGCCCACTCAGGGTTTGCAGCCATTTTTGTTGATGAAAGGTTTCAGAGACATATGGCTAATAGAGACAGCAACTCTGCCATCATTCAACAGTACCCCTGCCCTGTTTGAAATCTACCTGATAGTGGCAGCAGCCCTAGTGTGGTGCCACCACTCAAAGGGAAAGACCATAAAATGCTACACAGAAAACGCGCCTGGATGTGAAATAATTAACAAAGGCAGTTCCTCTTCCCTTACAATCATGAGTCTCGTCAGGAGACTCACGTGGTTGGCAGCTAAACTATATCTAACAGGCATATAATACCACGTCATAAACAAATGCCCCAGTCACAGTACTTTTATGTCATCAAACCCAATAAAGAACATCTTAAGAGGCATCCTACGGTTAGAAGGTCACAAACCCATGAAACGACAACTAATAGACGGTAAAAAGTTCAGAGCATCATCCGATGTATTGGACACAAAGCTGTTCAAAACAGAAACAAACAATACCATCAAAACCACTGTATATTTGACCTTCTACGGGTTTTCACGGCCTAAGGAATTTACAGTAGAAAAAACAAACGATACTACCAACATGCTCAATATAGCAGACCTAAACAAACAGGGGGCCGCTATGTGTTAACACTACCCCAACCTAAAACAAATCAAATGGTACCACCTGTCGACATACAACTATTCCCCACAGGTAACAAATGGTGCCCAGTTCAGTTTCTCGACCACTTGCATCTGACCCTCATAGGTCAGGACAAAAGCTCTCCCCTATTGATCTTACACGGTAACCCACTGACAACATCAAAATTAATGGTATACAACCGCCTTCATGGGCCATTCATTTCGTATAGGGCAAGCAACAGCTGCCTCTAGTCAAAACGTACCAGTACACATAATCAAAAGACTGGGACGATGGAAATCATCTGCATACAACCAGTAAATACCCCAACCGGAAAAATAACTAAGACAACCTTTTCAAGTTAGCTAATTAAGTAAAACTGTCATATCTGCTGATTGTTATTACGATTTCATACTTATTAAAGTTTGCATTGTTAAAAATCTCTTTTTGCATCTTTATTTACAGGCCTGCCCAAAGGTCGGTTTCGGCA